AGACCGCCTGTATTTATAACATAGTTGTTTACATGTTAGAATATGCTATATATCACTTACCAGCCTGTACCTTTTTTCATCCTGTCCTGTTACCTTCCTTATCTTCTTTTTGAATGTCACATACCATATGTAAGCAGGATGTGAAGGTACCTCTTAACTGTACCAGGCCAAACCATTCATACATCTTGCTTTTGAAATTTTGACATGCTTTTTATGTGTGTCACTATGCTCAAGTATTGCAAAATATTATATTTTAACATGAGTGCACAGGAATGAACAGAATTCTGAGAAAAAAATAAAATACCAATTCACAGCACAGCACTTGCCACCACTACCTGATATTCATACATATGACATCATAAATGTGAGGTGAAATATTATGAATGCTCAATAACGAGAAGGTATCCTGGCTCCCTAATCAACCTTCAGAAAAGTGGTCCCTGCTATTTCATATTATTTGTTTAAAAAGATTAAAGTCTCCAAAAGTGCTTGACGAGCTAATTGCCCAGTATTGGACAATGACTCACATTCATACAATGGAATCCATTCATTTGTCTCCAACCATTGTACACACTTAAATAACAGGCTCTATAGCCTTGTAGTTAGGCATTTTAATTCTACAGTGCAATGTTTTGAGGCTAAAGCCATGACAAGCGTTTATCCTAAGAAGTGTTAATTAGCTAGTGGGTAAACTCACACAGGGAGCACTGAGGATGAATTCTGAAATTTTATCAATGAAACACTAAATTCAGAGCTTAGCATTTGTAATCTGAAAGCCATGTCTATCAGATTGTGACAATTTGATACTTCAGAGTGTTCTGATATGATGGATAAAAATTGTTAGATTTGTGGTTAAGTCATTTTGTCTCTTAATATATTATGCATACCTTCTCCTCCTACTGCCATTTTTGATTAAATAAACACTTTACCTATGATAAGTAGAGATCTATGACATCATGATTGTTTTCCTTTTTATTAGGAGTTGATTGCTAGTTATAGTAGTCCAAACTAAAGTACCCCTGGTATTCTTCCATTTGATGACAAATGAGTTGCCTTCCACATGCCTTCCACATAAAGGAAAAGACCTGTTCTTTACAGAGGGAGAGCAAAAGAATATTTGCTTGTGTCTGTAGCTTTTTTCCATTGAAATGCGTATTTACCACAATTCTAAATTTGAGTGAGCTGTAGAATATGCACCCATAGCAGACTCTTATTTTATTTCCAATCAAAGACTATAGCACAAAGACTCTTCTGTTCCAAAACAAGTATGTGAAATGTGATGCAACCATTTTGCTGTGTTAGGCATTTTGTGGAAAAGAATTTGGTAAAAATATATACCCTTTTAAAAATAATATACTGGTACCATTCCAACTAATTGTTTCCTATTAGCACTATAATGACTGATCTGATCTAACAGGATACTACAACAGTAAAGCAAGTAATTCTAGCCAGGTACCACTGGCAATAGTTTTGAGGTTAGTTTCTGCAAGTTGATCAATAAGACATTCACATCACATAATCTATATTGAATGTATTCCTGTAATATACCTTAACTTCAGTTCTTGTGGTAGTTAATTGCTTATCTATAACTCATTGAACAGAACAAATGAGCATAGTAAAAGAAGTACCATATCTTCAAATATGTAATCTTATCCAGAGCACTTATATTTGCCTGGCTTAGCTTCCCTCTACCACTTTAGAGAACCCTTTTTGAGTTTAGCACAAAATGTGCATGTCTCGGGTAAGAAAATAGTACTTTTAGCAATGATGGTGATATCAATTCAAAGCATTACTACTATATACTTGGATGCTAATTGGATATCTTCTGTTGAATATCTCTTCTTGGTTGTGTAATGTTACTGATCATCATTTATTTTAGTTGTTACTTATCATACTTCAGTGATGATTTTTGGAGAGTGTCTTCTCCAATCATTTCCTCTGTAATAAGCCACCCAGTTACATTTTCATTATACAAAGTGATGTTTGTGCATTGTACTTGGTGTGGCGTAGCAAAGTCCGGGACTGTCTGTTGTCAGGTTCTCTTGATAGCACCACACGATATATCTTATATATAGCTTTTTAGGTCTAGACCCAAAGTCCAATTGAAGTTAATAGACTGTTCTTGATTTCAGTGGGATATGATCAGATACTTTGTCCTCTGTTCTGGTTGTATATTGTTCGCAGCTTGAGCCCAGCTTATTCAAAGGTTTTTACTATGTGTAAATATTTCCAATGTAGTGTTTTCTATTTTGTTCTTTGTGGTGTGTTATATGCCACCAAGTCATATGGGGGGACGATTCAAATATTTTAAACAAGAGAATGATAAATGGTAAAGAACATAAAATGAATAGCTGGTTTGCTTATTTATGTGCAAATTCTTTTAGTTTACAGCAGCGGTGGGCAATAAGCAGCCCATGAACTGGACACAGTTTACCAGAGTTAACTGCTGATGAGCCACTGGATGATTTATTAACCTGTGCATCCACAGGTACAGCCATTAGCAGCTCGTGTTCTCTGTGGTTCACTGTTCTTGGTCACTGGAAGCTACGGTAAGTGTTAGCCCAGCTGGCATCACTTCCTATTGCTCCCATTGACAGAAAAGTGAACTGTGGCCAACAGAAGCTGTGAAAGACTATACCTGTGGATGCACAGGTAAATAAAGCAACCAGTAGCCCACCGGGGCTAACCCTGGTGAATCACATCCAGCCCATGGGTCGCTTATTACCCACCCTTGTTTACAGCATATACATATAATTATTCCCAAAACTTATTTCCATAACTTATATAACTTTCCTTTACAACATTTGCTGACCACATGTGAATGTGTGAATAGCAAATAACAATATTTCCAAAAAATGACGTTTTTCAGAGTTCAACCAGCTCCCATTTTTAATACATGTTTGGCTCTAATACTATTAAATAACATAAACCAGTATTCATCTCAATGGCATGCATGATTCTTGGACTCCTGTGAGAAATATACAAGAAGGAAACAATTTGAAAAGAAAATTAAAAGTGTATTTGAACAAAAAATGAATAAAAACAGTTCTGATATAATCAAATAAGCCATTCTGTTTTCTTCTATGTGTGGAGGAGAATGTCAGGTGTATTTAAAGGGATAGAGAGCCCCAAGCGGAACCAAGCCTGCCCTTTAGATTTAATAAAAAAATATGTAGAAATGTATCATTAACTTTCACTCTAACCTTGATCTGGATTGTTGCAAGAAAGTCGTTTTTTCCTTGATGTGTAATGACCAAAAGACTTTGGTATTTCTAATGATCACAGTATGGTTGTCATATCGTCTGATTAAGGGATAATTATCATACTACTTCATTGTCAATGGAAGGGAAATTGCCATGTCCAAAATCTGAATTTAGTACATCATTTGGTATGCAGTATAATTCCATAAATATGCTAGTACATGCCTAAAATGCAATTTTGTTTATGAATCACATGTAATATCTTCCCTGGGTTGGGCATAATGCAAATTTGGAAACAAAAATTAACCAGCCTTACATTTTATTATGCATCTGAACTAATGTAATAGGAAACATAATTACATAATATCTCATCCACAACTATGACAAGATACACATGATGTAACGAGTGTCAACAGACCCCATTATAGAAGTGAGCTATGGGAACAAAGCACAAAGCGGCCAGGTTCTACTAAAGAAGGTAACTTCACTCAGGACTCTGCTGCCCCTTTTGAAGTCAACCAAGATCATATGAAGCAGAAGAGAGGCAAATTAAAGCTATATCAGTATTTTTTTTTAATGTGCATGTTACAGGACAGACCAAAATTTCAAATGTGTAAAAGGCCTAAATTTCATCAGTAAAAGGCCTACATATGCACAAGAAGAAATGCACAAACCAAGCAATGTACAATTTAGGGCCATTTGTGCCACCAGTTATATTAGCTCCATGGAGCTAATGCAAAATTTCTGAGTGAAATAGATGTATGTAGCTTGTTATAGTGAAACTTCCTTACTACGGTCCATTGAAATTCTGGCTCTGAAGTTTTCTTTAAAAAGTTACTTGTAGTTTATTTACATGACCATGTTCACTTTCTAGTTCACTTTTTTAACAGTGACCATAATTAGCCATTGGAATAGTTTACTCCATGGGCCATGTCTACACTACACAGAAGATTTATGCTGCCCCATTGATGATCTAGATTTCAATTGAGTGGGTGGAGTATAGACCTGCTAAATCAAACTTAGTGGGTCCCCCTGTCCACTCTGTTATTCCTCCTCCTCACAAGGAGTAAAGGAAGCTGATGGGGGTATTTGTTCCCATCGGCCTCCTGCTGTGTGGATGGTGCAAAAATGTTGACTGCAGTTAGATAATATATGTAGCTGGAGCTGCATATCTTACATCAACCTTTCAATATAGTGTAAACCAAGCTTAAGAAGGGATGTGGTTAAGTCTCCATTATGTGATGACTTTCTAAAAGATATGTTGTAATTCAATCAGCAGTGACTAGATTTAATATAGGGATTATTGGATGAAATGCTGTGGCCAGTTGGATACAGGAGAGCAAAGAAGATTATTGTAATAGTTCTTTCTGGCCTTTACTATGTTTTGAATGAAACCATTGCTTTAACTGAGCTGGGACCATCTTGCAATCTGGCATGTGGGCAAACCCTTAAATTCACTCTGAGTCGCAGTAAAGCAAATAGAGGTCTGTCAACATCATGGATCAGATGGCACACATGATCCCCAATTCTTCAAACACTTATCTGGTGCATAAAATGCCATAAAATATTGGGTGATGCTTTAGAAAATTTGCCCCATGATGAGATTACAATGAAATACATATAATACAATATTCAAAGATCAGCCGTTAATTCATATCAACTTCTATACTCTAACGTACACACAAACAATCAGAGGAAGGCCTGACCTGCACAATTCGGAGGTTAATACCTGTATCTAGAATTCAGGTTCAATCCACTCCATAGTTGTAGAACAGCTGTAAATTTTACACGTGGACTTGATCAAATTCTAATGAATTTTGTTTTTATTCTGTAAGCTGAAACTCTTGTTAGTTTTAATGAATCTGTAGGGGTTTTTTTACATATTTTTTTACAAATGTGTGGGAGTACAAGGGGCAGGATATCTTAGATTACTTGAGAGATTCATAATAAGATGCCTCTGATTTTCATTTCCATTTTTGCCCTTTGAGCAGGATGTTGTATTTACATTTCCAATATAGTGTGTGAAATGAGAGTTCGTTGCACTGCTCTTTCAAATATCAAATGGTTCTTAATGATTATCCACATTCTGTCTCAGGTTCCTGAGCATATAAACAAAGGAAAATGGAATGACAAATGAAATTGCAGGACATTAAAAGTGTCAATATAGGACAGCTTGTTGTTAACTTTCACAGAATATATTAAACATGATTTGTTGTTTATGTGGCAAAGCTAGTAGCAAGAGCAGAAAACATAACATAAATTTCATTCCCATGAAAATGAGAATAAGATGTAGGACAAAACTAATTCATTTTCATTATGATCTGATTGTATATTTTATGAAAATATACAATTTTATGCAAACATACAATCTAATATATTACTATAATTTATGGCATTTAATATTGCTTTTATACCCAACTGAAATGTCTCGTACAGATATAGGTAAAAGAAGAAATCCACTATGAATATTTTGCCTAACATCTGTTACAATAACAGATAAGTTTCACAGCTACATTTTTGGTAAGATCTCTTCCTTGCTATTTGCATTAACTTTCATATTACACTGGATTTCATATATAAAATATACAAAAGAAACTGGGAGCCTCCAAGCTGAGCAAGAAATAATTTGTGTAACCTCTTGATTTTTATATTTGTTATGTTCATCTTTTCCCTCTTTTTCCTTCCTTTATTTTCTCATGCTTGCTTATGATCCCTGTTTTCACTTGAACCAATTGCTATGCATGCCCCTTTGAGACGCCCCATGGCTTAAATGGGATATACCAAATAGATTCATTTGCAGGATTTAGCCCTTTTGATGTAAGACCCTAGGTTTGGTGAATGCTACTTATAATATATGTATAGCACTTACCCTAATGTGGTACCTGATTTTGTACCTGTACCTGACTGGGAATGCTACGTGCTACTATAATCATACTGCAAATATGATATGATACATCAGCTTCTCTGGGCATTTCCTGTACACGTACATGCAGCATTTTAAAAACTTTCTCTTCTCTCAACTCTCTGTTTTTAAAAGAAAAAATGTTGAATGCCTTTCATCCTAAAGGTGGAGATTGATTGCTGAGCATATTGTAAATTTTATAATATTGTTTGTATCTAGCACAACAGAATGTATTTTGTCCCTGTCTTCCTTAACCAAAACTTAGTTTTATGTGCTGAGTATCAAGTCAATATGAAAATATGTGACCTGCATGCAATTTTTCTTGTTAAATGGGAATACAATAGACCTATTGGCTGTTCTTCAAATTGAAAAGTGTAACCTACCTTAAACCTGGGCAAAACATTTGTAATGAATTGGGCCCTGGACTTATCTCTGAGACATTACCAAATTAGGAGATACAGCATTACCAACACTTCTTCCGCTAACTGGGCTCTTAGAAGACATTTAGGTATAAATTAGAGCTAAATGACACAGAGAAAACTAAGAATCAGGACTAGGGGCTACAAACAAACTTTATGGGACCATAGGAAACTTGGCCACATCTGGCTAACTAAAATGATGCCAATCTATGGATGTTGCTGGATCAGAGAGAGCCAGACTAGAGAGGTTCAACCTTACTTAACATTAAGGACCTACTAAAATGTTTTAAATAAGCAATCAATGTTGTCTCTGATAGCAAACTCTTCTTAAAAATGTGTGGAGAGTCATGATTTATTAATATCCTTTTTGTCTCCTTTTTACATATTATTATAATTGTTTATTATAACCAAAATAAACCAGAATTTTTTTCTCTCACACACACACATCATTTTCCTCACTTGGAACATTTGACAGCATTTTTTGACTAGTCAGTTTCACTGTTTTCTCAGATTCATTCCCCCACTTGGGTGGTATGGAGTAAGTAAAATCCCATCAGCCATCCCAGTTCCACAGTAGCCAGGAATTCTTCCATGTTGGGAAGGGTGGAAATGCCCTGTTAAATTATCTTTAATACAGGTCTTGGAAACAAATCAGCATCTGGCTCATTCCATAATATTATTTCCTGGTTTAAGCTTTTTTGTACTCCTTGTAGGCTTGACCATCTGTTGAAGAAATGGCAAAACTGCTGTTGGCCTCAATGGGATCAATACCACTGGAAGATTATTCTGCTCCAGTTGAGATTTTTAATGGTGAAAGTCATGAAAATTCTTCTGGAAAACATTGCACAGTATGTAAAACCTCTTTTCAGGAAGACAAGTCAATCGATGGGACAAATTTTACCATTTGATTTGGAGAACCTTCTGTAGCTTACTATATAAAATAGATACTTTATTTCCAATAGGTTTTTAATAAACATGAATGATATTAACCACTATTTTATCTTTACACCCTTTTGATATTTGCAGATGATTTTTTCAGGTAGTGGAGTGGATACCCATGCAGGGATCTCCCCACCCCCCTTTGCAGAGTCATCGGGGGAGGGGGACATCAGGGCAGACCTCTGCACTGCTAGCAGGGAGGGATGCAACAAGCTCCTAAATCTCTTTACCAGAAAGGGCCAGGTGACACCCCCACTGACCTGTGGGGGTTCTGACCCGGCTCAGAGACACATGCTGCCTGTCCCACATGCTCCATGCTGCTGGGGGTGCAGCTGGGAACAGGTGTGGGGGAGTCAACTCATTTCCTCCAGGAGAGGAGGAGGGCTCCCAGCAAAGTACTAAGCTGCCCTGGTCTGAAGGGGAGTGCCTAACTCTGTGGCACTGAAGCTAGGGCTAGGGCTGATGCTACACAGGCAGCACCTAGTGCACCAACTGATTCTTGGGCTGAAGGGTATCTCCCTTTCCATGGGGACTAGAGTAGGCAGGGCCCCAAAGCAGTATCCCTCTGCCCACCTGTGATCATATGGAAGTGGCTGGTGCTGCTGCTGGGTGCCATTGCTTATGAGCCCCCAGCACCAGCAGTTCATGATGCAAGTCTGTTTCCTTCCCTCTGTCTCACACCCCTTCATCTTGCCGTGTTTAGGTCAGACGAATTGTTAGATATATGCCATCCACCCACATCAATGGGTCACTGGAAGTGATTGGGTTGGCAGCGAAGTGGGGGACAGTCCCAGTAGCAAGGGAGGGAGGGACAATAGATAGCTCCCCCCTGTGAGTCAGTGACCCATTGGCCAACTGGGATAGTGTTCTGATACCCCAGATAACAGGATTTAGCATAGTTCAAGGGTCATGTGGAGCCTCTTTTGGCTTTGTTCCACAGCCCACTCAGCCTACCCAAACTAGGAATGGAAACCTAGTCTGAACGTCTCACTGTTCTGTAAGAGAGTAGCTTTTTTTAAAAAAAGAGAATTTGTGCTCATGATTATTTGAAAACAGTTTTAAAATAAATTCTATCATGTGGTTAAGAATTTATTTACTGTGTTATGAAAATAGTTCATGTGGTTAGTGTAAGTACTCTGTGGCGGAAAACTGCTGCTTTTTGTTGTGCAATTTGTACACCAGTAAAAATAAATTACAAAACTGGCATTTTGACACAGCATACCTGCACAGGTTTAATCCTGTTCCCAGTCATGCTGTTGGACACCAACTTTGCAATTTTATCCTTCAGTGCTTTTCATTATTCTTTCACATTTATTGATTGTTGACAGCATCTACTATTAAGACCAGATCTAATCAAAATACAGCATCAGAGCTATGAGCACAATAGATAAAAGAAGGGATCATGTCTAAATACCTGAAATATATGGAATATAACATGCTATTGTGAAAATGTAATAAACCTTGACACTTGAAATACAATAGCCGTAGTTAGTACGAGGGGAATGGGTATAACAGGTCCTGTAAATACAATGTTTTAGGTCTTGTAAGGCGCTCGGGTCCAGTGGAGTTACGCATACCACCAACCTGGCTCATTGTGTGGGCTATCAAGGAAGAGGATATCTGCAATCTTCCTCTTGTGCGTGAAGGAGGAAAGAACAACACTACAGGTGACTTCTGTCCCTGCACCCTCCCTGTGCCCCTGCCAAAATTCAAATTGCTACATGGGTGAACCCTCATGCTGCCTCCCTGTCCTTGTGGATGACCCTCACTGCACCTTTCCCCTCAGGCAGCAGTTACCTATGTCCAAAAGCATACCTGATCTGTGAATACAGCAGCTCTGAATGACCCATTTTCACGCTGACTTGCTGAGAGTTGATGGGCCAGGTGTTCCTGGCTTTGCAGAGCTCAGACTGTGTGTTGTGCTATGAAGCACCACTTTTATGTCCCTCCTTTTCCTGTATGTCAGAAACGAGACCACATTAAGTGTGTCCAGTTAATTCTAGGCTTATTGATTGTGTGGCTGGAGCTACAACCTTGGCTTCGGTTATAACCATATCACAATTATGAATTGGCTAAGAAGTAGGTTACTTTTCCCCTTTCTGTAGACATTTGATAAACCTCAGTGCTTAAAATTGGGACTATTTGTAGCAATTATTGGAGGGAGGCAAGGAAGGGGGTGACCAGCACTGTAACAATAGGTGCAGGAGGCATTTATTTATTCCACCTGACTATCCACATTAAAGTGCTGATCTGTTCAGAGAGGGGGAGGCTTCCATGTCAAGTACAGATTGAAAAACCTCCTGGAGTAGGCCTTTATGCAATGAAAAGATGTTCAATGTGATTAGGTTCAGAGGCTTAAATTTATGGCATGACAGGTAAAATTCCCTCTCTGTGATGGATGGACTTTGGCTGCCTATTGATTATACACCTCAACATGTAAGAGCCAGGTGAATTGCTCGCTTACTCTATTTTCTTTCACTGCATTTAATAATGATCTTTGCACCCACTGTTTCTTACCTTACTACTTATTTTGCCTGTTTTTTTCCCTCAACATCTGGGCAATAGTACAGAGACAGAAAGACTTTGTTGTAATATTTCACCAACCAAGTAAGGTGGCAACTGATGGATTAGCATTTTTCAATGGACTAGATAAAAATGTCTTGTACCTTTATTTTCCAGCAGATTCCAAATGAAACAGAGGAAAGTTTTAGCATCCATCTGAAAGCTAAATGTTGAATCCATCAACATTTCAGCAAACAGCCAGCCATGGACCAAATTCAGCTCTCAGATACATGCAATAACTTCTACTTAAGTTCAGTCTTGACCTCCCATTGAGCATTACTGCTCCACGGTGCCCACCTTTAATAGATTCTTCCATCACACCTTATTTTGGCTGGTAATCTGGTTAGTGCTCTGGCCTAGACAGTAAGAAATCTAATCTCCCTTGACCTCTGTTTGAGTTCATTTATTTTTCTATATAAGAAAGATCTTGTGAAACATATCTTGGAAAATGGAATTATTTTAACTGTTTCCAGCCCTTGAGAATAGGATCTTCCCCTTTATTCTGTATTTTCTGTATTGTTCTTTAAGCCAGAATTTGTTTTTTTTAATTTAGTGTTTTATTTTGTTTTTAAATTCTGTGAGGTATTTCTATACTTTTATACAGTGACAGAGTGCCTTACTGGGGATGTGAATAGAGGACTATCACATAATGCCAATGATGATTTTAAATTTGGCATGATGGCATGATGGTTTTACATAAATTTCTCTCACACATAAAAATATTACAGGCAGATTTAAATCAGCATAGCTTCAATGGTTTCCATGAGCGCATGTTGAGGGGCTGAATCTGTGTTTACATTTCTATAACAGTACAGATTAAAACAGTCTAGGGGAATCCATCAGTGATGCAAGAAAAATGCCAAATAACTGATGGAGCCAATAACCTGTAGAACTAATGCCTCTAAAACAGATACAGTAAGGCCTTGTCTATACTATGCTGTCGATCTACTTTAGCTATGCAAATAGCGTTGCTGCAATCAACATACTCACCACAACATCCTGTGTGTGCTAAGACCAGCAGGGGGCTGCTCTCCTGTTGACAGGAGTGCATTCAGAGATCTATAGCAGACACAATACATCGACAGTAAGTAATAAACACTCATGGAAAATATTTATTATTATCCTTCCTGGACTGGCCAATCATTTTGCAAGAGAAAATAATTTTGCATGAGAAATGAAAAACAAAGTATCAATAATATATCACTGCAACAATGGAAAGGATTACTTACATTCAGTTGAAGCAAATGTTTTCCTCCTAATTTATTAGGACACTAGAAAGGGATTCCACTTAAGGGGAAGATTTTTACCAGTTAGAAGATTTTTTTACTGTACGTATAATGTTCTATTGCTTGTTCAAATATTCATGAACACCAGTCTACTCTTTTCATAATGGCTGCTCCTCCACTCAGTATAGTAGAAGATGCATGTTTTTATAGATTTTTTTATTGGTCCACTACTCATTTCTTCCCTTGACAAGAGTGTCCTTTCACTGCTTTAATAGCTGAACAAATGACATACTCATTCCAGTGTAATTTGGTAAGTATCTGTCATTTTTTAGGATTTATGACAGGTGCACTTTGGCCGCATTTGTAAAGTTCACTGCTGAAATAAGACTGGGGCAAGAAGTGGTATCAGCCCATTCTTAGTTACAGTAGATGATGGATTTGAAAAGACATCTGTTCAGAAGGACAGCATCAGCAGACTGTCTATATGCTCTTGTTTTGGATGAATTATCACAGTTTTGCTGTTTAGTGTAGATTGTCATTGAAACAAAACAAACGGTCTTTTTTTGTAAAAAACTGAGTTTGCTTCACTTGATAAAACTTCAGTTTAACACTATTTGAATTTAAACAAAATAAAATGAAAAAAAAAAGACCCTTGTCTGTAGGCACGCTTGCAGTCAGTTAAAAAAATAGAAAAAGTATCAAACTAAAGCAGTGGTACATGTCTCCACTTTTCTGCCACACACTCAAACACCAGTCAACAAAATGTAATACTGATTAAATAAATATCTTCCCATACCCCTCATTTACCCAAAAGCCAGAGCCAAAAAAGCATAAGCCTTCCTATAGAAGTCCAGCGATCCTGGCCCTGAAACATCCAGCCAAATAGATAGACTTTGCATCATGACAAGAAAGGATAACACATTTAAATTTTTCAAAACCGAGATGGTGAGTGAATTTCAATGGCAAGATTGTCATACAGAATGCCCTACCAGCATTTCCCTTTCATATACCCAGGAACTGATCGCTCAAACATACTAGCCAATCCCAACTATGGCTATATAACCCGAGGAATGAGACAGACGAACAATTGCTCAGCACTACTGTGATATTTTAGGGATCTTCCAGACCAGCAAGCAGTTCTGCCATTGTCTGCCTTATAACTTAGGATTCCTTACTGCAATACGTCTATAACTCAGAGCCATGACACCAAAGGCCAGCCCACAAGAAATAAAGCATTCATCACAGCTTCCACCAGACTAGTTGCACCTGACAGGGTGACATCAGCCTTCATCCACCCCAAGTTCTTAGCTAACTGTCAGACGTCCCCCTCCTTAGTCACATTTGAAAGAGTGATACCTGCTTTCCAGTTTTCAATTCCGGTTGGGGCACACACTCCACTTGCTTCGCACACCAGAGGCTATTTTCTGGTAAAAATGAACCAGAAGTTTATTCAATAGAAAAAAAAATCAGAGATCCAAAGAGAAAATGTTAAGGAAAGGCAAACCACATTCAAATTACACAGAATGTAAATGTAAATACTCAGTATCAGGCTTTACACTTCTCTAGTAGAAGCTTGAAGTGCTACAGGAACAACTCCAGATCAGAAGGCAGAGAAACTAATTACACCATTTGCATTAGTCTTCATTGCAGAGGTTGTGCAGGAGATCCTACACCTCAGCCATTGTTTTTAGCCACTGCGTGGTTGACTAGCAACTAAAGACTCTATTATGAACAAGTTAATCTTCTGGGAACATAACATCACATACATCCCTCTGGAACATAACATCCCTCTGGAAACCCAGTAGATGTATTAGTCTCTCAGGGCAGATCATTACAACAGGCCCTGGCCCAAACAGGAGACTTGCGGAAAACATGTTAACAACATGTAGAAGAAGCCGGTGAATGACATTTTAAAAGATATAAAGTAGGAGCTGCAGAGGAAACATTAACCATTGTCAAAAAGGAGACTAGATCATGAACAACAACTAAGAAATGAGTTTATATGTCACCTCAGCTGTACAATCTATTTTCTTTCAAATTTTTCTTCTGTGACAGGAGAGCATTTTCAGCACCACTGCTCAGAATGCGAGAGATAAATCTTCAACTTCCACTTCCTCAGCTTAACTCTTGAAAAGAATTGAATATCTTCAGATATTTTCTAAATTATGCCACATTAAATGTAGCACTAGAAGTTGGCCAACTTTTATACCTATTAGGAAAGCTTCTGATTTTGTACCATGTCACATTTTCTTTTCAAGTAATGTCAATGTTTGCTTGTCTATCTATTCACTCAGGCTACGTCTAGACTGCATTCCTCTGTTGACATTCCCCAAAAAATGAGGTTTACAGGATTTGTCAAAAAAGGCTTTATTTTCAACAGATCCGCATCTAGATTGCCGTTTTTTTCGAAAAAACTCCATTTTGAAAAAAAGTGGTGGCCATGTTTATACTAATGAGGCACAGGATATTTAAATTCCTGCATCATTAGCAATTTCATTAGCACACCTCAGTGTGACTGACTGCCATGTTAACTGCCCTGCACCTTAAAAGAGGGGCATGTTTGGCTGGTGTAGCTGAGTGAAGGAAACAGTGCTTTATAGTTGGAGAAAGATGAAAACTGCTTCAAAAGGTGCAGCGTGATTGCTGATTCTACACAGTTTTTGGGGGAACTAAAGAAGGAATTTTTCCCCTACCACCATACTAAGTTACGTGTAGTTGGGATTTTTCTTTAAGCTTCCCCACAGCAGCGTTCATGAATGGCATGATGGGCTGTTGACTATGTCACAACTCATGATTCAAGTGTCGGGCAAATGTCCAGGACAGGTACTCCATAGAAAAGTGTGACAGATTCAGACTAGCTGTCTGCCACACAGTGATGGAAGGAACACATACTGGGGTTTGGGAGAACTGCTTTCTCTTACCTGAGTTAAAAAAAAGCCCCCAAAACCTAACTAGAGCATAATCAGGCAGGCAACTTGGGTCAATTAGAGCTTGCTAGAAGATACAAGCCAATTAGACACCTGCATCCAATTAAGGCCTATGATGCTGCTTGTTAGGGGTCTCACCCCCCAGGCAAGGAAGGAGGAAGGAAAAGAGCAGAAGACAGGAAGGAGGAAGTGCGGTGTGCAGGAGCTATGTGGGTGTGAGCGGAGGACTGATGAGCAGGTACCAAAGGAAAGGTAGTAGATGTGATCATTTGGGGAAGTGGCCCAGGGAAAAGCTGCCAGTTTGAGAGTGTCAGTAACCCTGCCTATTGTTACTGCCTAAGGTCCCTGGGCCAGAACCCGGAGTAGTGGCCGGGCTCGGGTTCCCCCCCCAAACCTTCCCATGACATCTCAAAATCTGCATCATGAAAGGAGATCTAGTGAAGACAAAGAGGCTGTGTGGAGGGCCACAGCAAGCCTCTGAGGCTAACACTAGTGCGAGACCCACGGGGAACAGCCAAAGTTTTTCAACAAAAGATATACAGTGACCAGATAAATGGGTTGGAAAATAGCTTTAAAAAGGAATGTTCATTAAAGGAATTAACAAGGAACAACTGGGGATTCCTATGTTTGGTATAGAAGGGAGCTCACCTTAAACCTCCTTTGAAAGTGGTGGTAAGGTCCTGATAATTGATTTGCTGGAGGAAGCTGGATGGAAAAAGAAGGGTTGCTGGTAAAAGCCCTCCTTTCCTGAGTGATTATGGAATAAACATGGGGTTATCTGTATTATACACTGTTATCTGCCAGGTAAGCCTAAATATCTAATACTAAAACGCCAGCCTGATTAAACGTATGTCACATACCTCCTGTTCTTATTTAACATAGCCAGATAATCCTCTTCATGGTCTGACTGTAAATATATCCCAAGTAAATAAATGATTTAGCTATATAAAGAAGATGAAAGATTGAGTTTTCTCATTTCACTTTACAATATAAAATATAACTATTTGTCTGTGTATTTTACACCACAACATATTTTGTATTTATTTCATTTATTATTGGTGAAAAGGTTACAGATACTCATGGGAACAAGGAATAAATGTGAGTTCCTTAAGAAAGTCTCTCATTAGATGTAACTTAAATCCCTACTTTGAAAATGATGGAAAGGGGAAAATTGCCAAAGAAGAGCAATACTTCTTCACTTTCATATTTGAAAAGTGACCATTTAAGCATAGCATGTTGCTCATAGTGTCCCTACAGCCATGGTGTTCTGATGTACAGGAAACAAATTATGCTTTTCACTGTGGAGTGGACTAAGCTCCCCTAAAATGTTAGTGGCGGTTGGTTAAAAAAGTGAATATGAAAATATTAACAAGAAATGGTTTCAGGATTGTGTTGACTGCAGTTATTTTTAAAGAAATGTATAAAAACTGCCATTTGGTAAAAATATTAACAGATGAATAATTTTGTTTTGACAAAGCATTAACATTCTTTCTACAATTTCCTACTGATTTAATATGCTGCATGACGGTTAAATGATTTGAAATATTAGGAAAGCTGATCACTTTGTAGCCAAAGAAATTAAAAAACCTCCTGGTTCTTTGTTCATTTTTAAACATAGAGAAACAAATAAATTAAAACCTTTTAAAATGATCAATCATGAAAAGTGAATTGCTTCAGCACTTCTCATTGAATATATTGAGATGGGGGCCAAAAATCCATCTGTCTCCCTATCTCCTTATCCATTTAACCTAAAATTAGGCTCCTAAACATGTAGATAATCACATCTTTCTATAAGTGATGATCAAAACTTTTAAAAAAATCAGATGTCTTATGTAAGAGCTTCTCCGCCCCACCAAATTTGGGCTTTAGTGCAATTAGATGATATGACATGTTACCAA